TTAAAAACTCAATGTGCCCTGACATGTTTCATATATGCTTCACTTATAGGCATAATAACACTCACACCTCCTACATGAATTCATTTATTAAACTGAATAGTGTTGAATATTTAATAATTGAAAATGCATTTATTTCCTACTGCAATATTTTGGGAAATTAAACAAAATAATTTCTCTACAGCTCACTGGTCGCAGCATACACCAACCAGAACAGCATCGACTGGAAGGTAGGAAACATTAATGTTGAGTGAAACGTGTAAATCATATTATTATTACTGCAAACTGTTGATGTTGTCCTGTAATCATTCCTACCTCCATGTTTAAAAGGGGGTCCCATGACTGAACATTATAAGGACAATATTTAAAAGAACAAAATGAAGCAAAATAACCATGAAACTACAGTAGAGCCCTACAAACATCATATATACGTGCTTCCCTTTACTGAGGAAGATCAACCCCATGCTTGCTTTAATACACAGTTCAAAGTAATAAAGAATTACTTGCAATAACATGCACACACCCTGCACTGTAATGTAATGTAATGTAAATATAAAACATGGACACAATTTCCTTGTTAAAAAAATGAAGCCAATACATTGAACCTACATTCTATCTGAAGGCCAGTAGACGGTGATAGCAGTTGTTGCAGTGGTCCTGTAGAAGTGTATGAGAAAATGGGTTTCTATTTCTCTTAACCTCTGTAAATACTTTTCTGTTGAGTTTATCTGCTCAGTCACTCATGTTTTTGTCACATTTAATAATAATAATAATAAAAAGAAAGTAAGTCTACTTTGTAACTCTTGGCCATACAGTACCTTAAAATAGAGGATTACCCATGGAATGAAACTACACACTCACTGGCCAACAAATTGCAATCAGTCGCAGAATGTCTGGTTTACAGTCAGGCACACAGTTCCTCATTACATTTGTCTATTTTGCAACTATGAGTCCTCAGAAACCAGGATGTGACATCACAATAGCTATGTCAATCTTTTATACTCTCTATGGTAGCAAGCTTTGTAGCTGCTCTCAATTCAAGGTACCTTTAAGGCCACTGCGTTTAGGTTGAACAACAGGTGAGTGATCATGTTAATTCAATGTGAGCCTATAATTCACTTACTGACAATCACAGTTCAAGACATAACAAGACTAAATTAATCCAAAATGAAGAAAAGGAGACCATGAGCTGCTCCAATAACCCAACAAATTGTGATATTGTTAAAAAATCTGGTCTGAAGCCCAGAATAGTCATGTGATGCAGCTAGATTTGTGAGACATGTCTGGAATAAATCATGCAAAGTAAAGAAAGGTAAAGTGAGTTAGCATGATAATTGCAAAGGCAGTAGTAATAAGTTAATATTTAGCAGGTATCAGATTAGATTATCATGCTAAAATGTACTTTTAGCACATACAGCTGTTAGCGATTGTAATGCTTCATGTTTCGTGGAAGCAGCCCATGCTTTTATTTTTGTTAGGTTGGATTGGATTTAACGAAGACACTCATTTCCATTGTTTATACTCACTTTATTAGGTACAGTTTGCTAATAATAGCCTGGATCCCAGAACTACCTTAATCATTCATGGCATAGATTTACCCATAAGAACCCACGCCCCTGTACACATTGAGGAAAGGTTCTGTTGAAGTTTCAAAATTGACTCTCCCAGTTTTCCTGACAGTAAAAATGGGTCTTGGCTCTTATTGGTTAAATAGGGAAATGGGAAACAGCTGGAAATGTTCCTCAGAGGTTTTTGGTTCATATTGACATGACAGCATCACAAAGTTGCTGCAGATTTGTCAGCTGCACATCAATGAGGTGAATCTCCTGTTCCACCACATCCCATCAGGCCCTGGTGGATTGAGATCTGGTGACTGTGGAGACCATTTGAGTAAAGCTAAATCATTATCATGTGCAAAAAACCAGCTTGAGATGAATTTAATTTTGTGAGACAACACTTTATCGTGGAGGCAGCCTTCATAAGATGGGTACACTGGGATTAAAAACAGATAGACATGGTCGGCAACGATACTCAGGTATTCAGTAGTACTCATTTGGCATAGAGGGTTAGCTGGCAGTAGTGCATGACTGGTGTGCTCATCCACAAGTTCAGCATGTTGTTTGCTCAGAGATGCTCTTCTGTGTACCTGTCAGGGGTTGTGGTGTGTGGAGGCGAGGAAGAGATGACCCAAACGCTGGACTCACGGTGCAGAATGACGAGGATTTATTGGAGTGGGTGAATGAACAAAGCAGGAACGGCAAGACTGAGAAACTAACTGGCTGAATAACTGAATACAGATGGGAACGACAATAATGGCAACATCAACATCAATGACACGACACTGGACTGGTGGAACTGGGGAACATAAATATACAGGCTGAATGATGAGTGATTAGAGACAGGTGAGTGAACAGCTGAACATAATGAACTAATGATAAATGGGAAGAGAACTAGAACATAATGCACAGAGTAAAACAGGAAGTAGAACATGCAGAGAATGAACAATGAACATGAACTGAAAATACCGGGTCAACGGCCCAGGAACCCTGACAGTACCCTGGTTTTAATGAGTGGTTATGCGAGTTATTGTCACCTTCCTATCAGTTCAAAGCTGTCTCATCATCAGAATCATCAGATTCAGAATACTTTATTAATCTCTGAGGAAATTAGGTGGTTACAGTTGCTCCAAGACAATAAGAACAGTAATATACTGAATTAAATTAAATAATACAATATATTACAAAGTTCACAAAATTGGGAAATAGCTCTACTATATACAAATAGCTCAATTATAAATATTCAGAATATTACAGAGATGAAATTTAATTCTGTAAAAACTGTAAAAAATAAAATAAAATAAAATAAAAATCTTGGCCATACTGTACCTTAAAATAGAGGATTATCCATGGTATGAAACTACACACTCAGACATTTTCACTGAGAAAACTGGATATTTTCTCTTTTTCACTCACTCTCTGTAACCCCTAGAGATGATTTTATGGGAAACAATTTCTAAATTACACCGTCTGACATCAACATGCCATATTAAAAGTTACTTAAACTTCAGCAGGATGATCATGTCTACGTGCCTAAATGCACTCCGTTGCTACCATTAGACTGGCTTATTATATATTTGCATTATTGAGCAGCTGAAAGGGGGGAAAATACTTTAATAACATGTATGCTTAATGATCTTTGTGTTTACCTCTACAGGCAAGGTATACTACTTCAAACACAACACTAGGTCTCTTTTGAGAGTCTCTTCGTGAGACTTTGTCTGTGTGTAATGTTTTTACAGTTTGAAAATGAATAGCCCGACTACTTAAAGGTTTGGATATTAATTGAAATTGTAAGCCTAGGTGGTGATGGAACATGTTTTATAGTGAATAACATAACAAGTTTACAAATGAAAAATACAAATGTGCAAAAGGAAGTTGATTTATAGGTAATGTATTCATTTCACTGCTGAAAACAACTAGTAAAAGATTTCAGGTATGTTTACACACAAAGTTGATTCAGGTAATGCCAAACACGTGAGTGACACTAGGAGCAATTAAAGTCCAAGGGCACCTGTGGGTGTATGAAAAACAACTGAAGAAAGGAGTGAAACAGGGAAAACAATCAGAGCCGCGATAATAAACGTGACACATTTACCCAGAATGAAAACAGACTTTATATCTAGTGGCTGCAGAACCAGCAGTACAACACTGATAACGCTTCTGTTACCTAAACATTTATTATTAAATTTGGCATCCATTCATCCATTCTCTTCTGCTTATCCTCATCAGGGTCGCAGGGCTGAGGGATGGAGCGTATCCGAGGTGCCATAGTTGTACAGTTGGGGCACAGGTCGCCAGTCTGTTTATTATTTAATTATATTGTTAATTGCGTTAGTTATTTAATTATTTTTTGAATAAATAGATTTGGCAATGAAGATAAAAATATACATGGCCCAAATCATTTTTGATATTTGAACCAAATGTGCATGTGTGGCATCTCTGTTGTTGGAAATTTGTGGTTTGGGGGCTGACAGCCCTCTTTCTCTTACACATATACAGTTACATCTATTGTTAAGAGGGCACATAATCTCAAACAGCTTCTCAGCATTGACAAGGAAGTTATTCCAAGGACACTTCCTTAATCCAGGGTCCAAAAAGCCATTGTTGGTTTATTTAACGATCCTTATCTTTGTTGATTTGTAGCACGTGTACTCGTCTTGTTCTTTAAAAGCTGTGCTTCTCTGTCTGTTTTTGAACAAGACTTGTTGGCTCATTGTCCTGCTTTTGTCTGAATTGCATCACTGACAGAGGAACAGCAACTTCAACAGCATTTGGAAAAGGTAGAAACATTTTTAATGGTACACAAAGTTATTGTTAACTTTATTTTAATAAGACAGACAGAGATACAGTGTTTAAAGACAGCCTCTCCTTTTATTTGTTTATGTATGTGTGCTTGCATTTCAATTTAGTGATTTCTTTCTTATCTTCTTTTAAGTCAAGATCATTTTACATGTGAGTCAAGTCAATATGAAAAATGTTGACTTGAATCAACTAACAATACTTTATTGACTACAGCTTCTCACACAAGATACTACAGTATATGATACTGAAACCATATTACAAAAGAGAAACTGCACATAAAATTGTGTGTGAGCAAAACATTTTAATATAAAGTAAAATTACATTTTTGAGCAGTGATGATTAAAACAAATTTCAGAAATCTCTGCCATGGAAAAACTGAAAGAGGTATCCAGATTTTTTTTTAAAAAAAAAAGCAGACTATCTTAATGAATGTTTTTAAATACACGTAAGGAATCCCAGAGAGTTGATTCTGTTCATCCAGTCACAGAAATTTAAGTGGGAAAAACAGGCTGCATGTTTGCAAACATTTGGTGTTCTTTACTTTACTGAGAATCACCTGCTGTTGAAATGATCACTTATGTCTTTATCTCTCTCTCTCTCTCTCTCTCTCTCTCCAAAATATCAGTCTTTTTCACTGCAGCCATGCGTTCTTATTCAACCCCACCTCCTCTCTACCTGAGCCTCCTTCTCTTTCTGTCCTGCAACTCCGCTGTTCTTTCCTGTCAGACTGGAAACTACGTCCAGTGTAAGGCTGCTCCTTTTATACCAGGTCACAACCTGGTGGGGGAGGGATTTGATGTGGTCACTCTGCGACGAAAGGGAGCCTACGTGATTGATGTGAATACCTACCTCACCCCAAGTGAAACATGTACTCTCTGCTCCAATCCGCTTCAAGGCAACATGCTGCAAAAAGTAAATAAAGATGCAACAACAAAGAGCCATTTGATCAGTAGCACACACTTTATGTGTACATGTTCATGATCTGTCTTCATTTTCAGCTGCCAGTCTCTGCAGTGGACTGGCGTGCATTCAGCCGATGCAGTGCCGACATTTACAGCAGTGCCCACAGCTCTGTTAGGTATAGTTTTGTTACATTTTTATCATTGTTTAAAATTAGTGCATGCTTTCCAAAGACAAATGTGCACAGTTAAATTATGTTGTTTATACTCAGGCTAAACTGGGAACGCATCTGTTACCATGAAAAACAGTTGTGACAACTGAGCATCTTGTGGCTCAGCCGTTGACTCTTTATCTAAAGATTTCCATCTAATTAAACTCATTCAGTCTTTGGCAATGATGAAATGAAAAGTCACACTAATTTAATAGTAAGCATTTTGATTGCTAAACACCTTCTCTGGCCTAAACTCTCCTCATCATATTATTCATAGCTGAAAGTCTAATTACAATAACAGGTGTTCATCTGTAAATACTAACTTTCAAATTTTACAGTGATCGTTTACTTTGAATTGTATTCACAGCTCTTTGGTTGACACTTACACCTCCCAGGACAGTGTTGACTGGAAGGTAGGGCACATTTTTACTATACTAATGATATATTTTACCTGCATCTTGGTGCAGTAATCACGCCTTCACAAGACTGCTACCTTGTGACCAAAAAGGAAATGTACCTTTTGGCATCAAATTCAGAACCAATGTTCTGAAAAGAAATCAACGAAGTACACATTTACTCTCATACACTTCAACATCTCAAGACAATATTTATTTGACCCAAGTAGGAAAATTACATAATAAATTACACAATAAATTTATATTATGTTCAAACATGAGGCCATGTTTGAACATAAATTAGGATCTGGACAAATACATCACAAAATGTCTCAGTACTGGCGAGCTAAAATGTGAATAAAATGAAACACTTCTGTAAAGTCCCGTATTTGACTACACATTAATCATTTGTCTCATTTATTATAACAGGTTGGCCTAAATTTAGAGAAGTTTGTGGCTGCTAGCCTGGATGTGGGAGGAACGCAATCCACTGCCTATAATTTTGCTTCAGAAAGGACCAAAGCAGACCGCCACACCTTCAGCACACACAGGGTCACCTGCAACCATTACAGGTAGGCTGTGAATAACTCAGAATACTCACATAAATTCAGGTTATTCTGTAATCGTGGTTTGAAAAGCTTCTGTTGAGATCATTTACTAATCTGTCTCTTTGTGTCCAGTTACCGAGTATCAGACAGACCACCTCTCAGCTCTGAGTTCAGTTCGGCTGTAGCTAAGCTACCAGGTTTCTACAACAGCTTCACCAGAGCTCAATACAGTCAGCTCATACACACCTATGGCACACACTACATCCGCCAGGTTAAAACACACACAAGGTGAATTACCTTATTTAAAAATAATTTAAAAATAATTTTTTTATAACAACAACTTTGCACCACATTGCAGTCGAGCCAAGAAGGCAACAAAGAAGGTAACAAAGAAGGTAACAACGAAGGCAACAACGAAGGCAAGGTATACTACTTCACGCCTCAGTCGACCACCTTGGTGGTCGACTGAGGCGAGTCACAGCTGCACGAACCTGTCTGTCCTCACTAAACGGACTGTCCTCAGATCAGGTACATACATAAAGTTCATTATTTATACAATGCAAAATCACAACAATAGTTGCCTCAAGGCACCAGCTATTTTTTGTGCAGAACTAACTAAACAGTGTAATAATATAACAATAAAAATAATAAGTACTTTAGAATACAAACTTTGCTTTAGTCAAATTTTAATTGTAATAAATATTCTCAGCTTGAATCTGTTAAGAACATGAGCAGACAAAAAGAAGGAAAATAAAAACATAGTTCTATTTTCTGTTTTCTACATTGCAGAGGGTGATTTTGCCTCTAAACAGGAAAATGAGCACAGTCAGATTCAGCGGGTGGGGGAACCCTAAAATAAGATGTCGTGGCTCAGCATAGGGAAAAGAATCACAATTTTTATTGTAGGATCCAGCAGATTTTTTTAGTGTACAGGCTGTGATCAGTTGACTTGCGGTTCTGAGATTTATTACTCTTTGTGAATGTACACAATTGAATTCAAAATGTCAGCGGATATTTCACGAGTTGTCTTGGCTGATTTCCATCCTCTACTATGACAGTACACTATTTATATACTCAATGTAACCATGAGCACCATATCCACTGTGCACCAGTCACACACTGGTCTTTACTTTTAACCAGGTGTGTTCAACTCCAGGCCTCAAGGGCTGGTGTCCTGCAGGTTTTAGATGAGTCCTTGATCCAACACAGCTGATTTAAAAGGCTAAATGACCTCCTCAACATGTCTTGAAATTCTGAAGAGGCCTGGCAATGAACTAATCATTTGATTCGTGTGTGCTGATCCAGGGTGAGATCTAAAACCTGCAGGACACCGGCCCTTGAGGCGGCCTGGACAGCCCTGCTTTAAACCCATCACAGTACAGCAAACTAACCTGTTTATCCTGCACTAAACTGCAGAGTGTTTTCATGCAGTCTTTAAATAATACCATTAATCTACCTCAGTTTGTTTGCAGCACACTTCACAATATGAAAAACATATTTTCAAATGTACAGACCCAATATCAGACTTACAAACATGACAACTTGTAAGGACACGTAACTTTAAATTTCCAGTTTGTCAAGCGTCACTTAGCAGTCCTTACCTCTAAATCTAACTTTTCTTCTTCCTCTCCTGTCCTGCCTTTTTTATCTTTCTCCATCTCTGAGTGTTGTGCCAAAAAACAAACAAAAAACAAACAAACCAAAACTAAAATTAAAAACCACTCTAACTCCTGACGATGGCACATGGTTTTGCCTCTTTCATCTCTTTTTTTGGAACATGGTGATTAATACAGGATTGAATTTCATGTGTTACAGTTCAGGCTCAAGTCTGTTTGATGTTTGAAAGCTTGCATTGATGTAAAATAATAACTCTCCTGACATATATCAAACAATATATCTGTTTTGAAAATGTACGGAGTAGAAAGTACAGATATTTGTTGACATTTTCTGTCCCTTCTTGTCCTGCAGGTCCACTCCTGTTTATCGCTGGGTTTCTCTGTTGGCTTGGGAAAGTTCCAACTATCTGGTAACAGAGACTCTTGCAACAAGGTCCTTCAAAACCAGGGTCTTTCTGTTACATACGGCTCTGGACTCCACCAACACTACACAGAGGTGGTAGGAGGCAATGGTTGGTTGGGAGAGTTTGCACTCACACATAATAACTCCCTTGGCTATCTAACTTGGCTGAAGACACTGAAGGATCACCCAGATGTTGTTTCCTACTCCCTTCGGCCAATCTACGAGCTGATGACAAATTATACACAAAAGACAGGGATGAAAGCTGCCATTGAGGAGTACTTAGAGGACAATGCTGTGAAAAAATCACCCAGTGAGCCAAATTTTTGTTCAAACATTCCTAATCTGGCTTCCAACTGCTGTCCTCTGCAAGCCTGGAGGGGGACGCTAAAGGTTACCATTTTGCGAGCCTGGGACCTGAAAGGAGATCCAACTGGCAAGACTGAGGGGTGAATAGACTCTGGCCAGGGATTCAAATTTGGAGGTGGTATATCAAATAGACTTAATAATTCTTCTGTTGCTCTTCTTTCTTTGCTTCTACATACAGCTATGTAAAAATGTGGTTTGGCTCCATCTATCGGCAGACTCATTGGATTCGGTCAAACAACCCCCAGTGGAACGTGAATTATGATCTGGGCAAGGTCAGTAAAACCTTACTATAGATAATCATAAGTCTTTTGGGCTCACAGTCAGCAGAGTTGATTTACTTTTCAAACCTAAAAAAAAGATTGTTGTGGTTTGTCCCAATCAAAGCCATAATTGCCAAAAAAGGTTTGATACTTTTGTACCTAAACTGACAGCAAAAGGATTACCTTACATTAACCCAAATAACCAAACTCTACTACCAAACTTATGGTTTCAAGTTTTAGTGGCTGTAAAACCTGTAAAACTGCTGTAACAACAAATTCCGTGATACAGTGTACACAGTGACTTGGCAAGCAATAAAAGTAATATCAGCTATGTAGTGGTTTTGAACACATTTGCTACAGTTTTTACTATAATACTAAAATGCTGAAGGTAAATGAGCACAACACTTCTGCAATATCCTGACAACCTGCTCATTTTGTTAAAAGGCACCATGTGGATCCTGCCTTAAATGTCTTCTGCTGCAATAAGTTGATCTTGCTGATAAGGCGTTTTTCATGATGTATCATTTTATTTGGGAAGTGCCCAGATTTCAATAGATTTTGGGAAAACAATCAAGTATTCTGCTATTCACAGAGCCATTCTTCAGCTAACCATAACTATATAGGTACTTGTTTCTAGGTGGTTTTACAGCCAAACAAAAATAATTCTGGGGATGGGCCTATAAAAGTCATCAATAAACTGATTAAATCTGTCAAGGAGACAGATTTAAGAGAAAAAAGTGATATGTGAGTGCCCCCCAGGAATTCACCAGTGTGTCTCTATCACAGATTAACTTTAAATCATTTTAAAGTTTCCAATCTGAATTGAAATGTAAAATATGATTTTAAAAAATATTTATGAATTTGTCCAATTGTCCTTATTACTGTTTATGATTCACAAGCCTAAAATAAAAATTGGAAGGATGAAAATTAAAACTCTTGTTTGATTAATTTTCTTATGAAGGTGGACACACACTCTGGTTTGAAGGTTGAAGTTTGGGACAAGGACGTAACGTCTGATGACCGTCTGGGATCATGTCTCAAGTATCTTCAGCAGGGGACACACACAATTACCTGTCCAGCTAAAAGAGGAGGTTTTGAGGTCCGGTACATTCTGACATGTGACTCTCATCTGGCTGGAGACCGGTGTAATAGTTACCAACCATCTGCAAAATAACAAATGTATTTTGAGTTAATTAATGTAAAAATTCATGTGACTCATCAGTTTATGGATTTATTTTGCTACCACTAAGAGATAACTGTATTCAGTTTTTAGCCTTTATATAAGCTAAAGTTCAGGGCTGTATTCATATATTAATATTTTTAAATGATAGAAAAATCATACTTTTTTTGGTTTTCAGTAGTTTTTAATTATAAATAATTACACACACACTGAATCAGCTGCTGTGTATTTCTACTAATATGTGAGTCTAATTTCAGTTGTGTAAAAATGATCAAATCCTTGTTGTGTCACTTTACTTCTGATTCAAATAAAGCCTGTCAAAAACATGTTCTTTGGGTCCTTAAAGGGGACACCTCTATTATAAGAGGTACCTCTAGATATATAATTCTTATTATCTGCCAGTAGTCTCAGATAAGCTGTGGATATCCCACATCTACTGTGGCCAGTACAATCTTGTTTCCAAACATGCATAAAGGAGTTTACCGCTCTGTCAAAAACTGGTTGAGTACAGAGTTCAACTATTTAGGATTAATGGTGTTTAAACCTGTGGATGCAAATATAACTGAGATCCAGAAACCTCTGCTGGGTTATTTCTCATTTAAAATGGGAACTGGTGAACTGAAAAACCATCTAATGGTCTGAATAACATGGATTTGAAATACATTTTGGCAGGTCTGCACAAAGACAAAAAAGGAGCCTTGGCATTTTAATTAAAAGAGCTCTAATAAATCATGACAATTTTATAAATAAAGCAAGATATATTCAGAATGCTTTATTTGGATTCTTGTAAATAAGAATCCAAATTTGCCAGAGGTGGCCCACACATGGGCCAGCACAAGGCCAGATGCAGACACACTGGTGGTCCTGACAGCTGACGAATTCCCCTTCGTCATCCATCATGGCATCTTCTGCCCCTCCTTTGCAGGGAAGATGGAGGCCCCGTTGTCATTGTCGCACCACATCCCGGCTCATTCCTGTGGCTTCATCGGAGTTAGCTGACATCGGGTTGGCAACCTTGGACTCTGCAGTGAGTAGAACGGACTCTGCCATTTCAGTGAATTCTGTCACAAAGGACTTGAGGTTGGTGACTGTTACTCCCGTGCCTACTGGGACTGTCAAGACTGCAGACAGTATTATTGATTCCACAGGGGTTAATGGCTTAAAGATTCCCGAATTTTCTAAGAATAAAATTTTCCAGACCTCTCCAGGTGTTACATCTAGCATTTCCAGGCCAGCTGTTGTGTTTGTTTCTAAATAATGGCTGGGATTCTGCTGGTGCCTGTTCCTATCCCCAAGCCAGCTAAGTCTTCACCGGTCCCTGGACCCTTATCTGTTCTTTGGGTGGGGACAGCAGACGCCCAGCCTTTGCCTGTGCCTGTCCCGAGAGAGAGGGCAACTGTGACCCAGCTTGCTCTTGCACACATACCTACTCCTCGGATGGGAGTGGCTGGCGCCCAATTTTTTCCGGCACCCATGCCGGTTTCTGGGGTGAGCCCAGCCAGGACACAGTCGAACTCCACACCCGTACCAATCCCTGGGGTGAGAGCAGCTGGTGTACAGCAGGTGCCAGCACCCATTCCTGCGTCAGGAGAGCCCAACCAGTGTCCAGCCACATCATCCTGCTTGCGCCCAAATCTTTCATTTTAGGGGCTCAAAAGTAATAGGACAAATTAAATAACTGAAAATAAATGTTCATTTCTAATACTTTGTTGGCAATGACAGCCTGAATTCTTGAACTCATGGAGATCACAATATGCTGGATTCCCTCCCTCTTAATGCTCTGCCAGGCAGCTTTCTGGGTTGGCTCTCTGTTTTAGGTTATTTTAGGTTATTATCCATCTGCATTATGAAATGGTCATTAAAAACCATGTCCAATATATAATTATAATTGGAATATGTTTTAGTAAATAGGTTAAAAAAAACTTGCATCAATGTCCAAATATAGACCTTACTGTAACTGTATCCTTATCTACTCTTTTTTTTGTCTAAAATATTTCAGTTTCTTTGAGATGAGATGAGAGATGATGAGATAGCCTTTATTTGTCAGTTGCAGGTCTTTTGCCCACAACCGAGATGACAGACCTTGCCGACCGTACATACAATACACAAACATCGCATTGGGGAGACAGGTCAGGCTAGGTAGCGAGGAAAAAAACATCGAAATGTGTAACACAGAAGAATAATACAGGAATGCACAGATATCAACACACCATAGCACAATAAACACAGACAAGCAACATGGGAAAGAGTTCCAGTGTGTACATCTGATCTGGGACCGCTGCAATCTTTCGACTGCGCCTCCAACTGACCCGATGTCCACATCAGAGGGGAGGTAAGCGTTGGAGGTGGCGTTGGATCCGGGGTAGGGAGGGTGGTGCGTCAGTGAGTGTTTATCAGTATCAGTATATGTATGTGTGTGCGTGTCCATAGTTCAGCTGAGACAGTGTCCTTCGCCCTGCCAGGCTAAGTAAACAGTCTTCCAGCCAACCCAGGTGGCCTTGCATGGAATGGGAAGGAAAAGACTAAACTTAGTCGTTATCAGGGTGTTTTGTTCAGCTCCGGCCTTGCAGCTGGCGCCAAAGGGGTATCCGCATAAGTGATGTTATTTTTTACTTTAGTGCGAACAGCTCATATGAATTTCAAAGCAGTTCTTCAGTCCAACACTGGTCTCTCAGTCTCCCGTTGGAGAGCCGCGAGTTTCGCCATACTTGCGTTCTGTGATGTTGTCATTTCTTGTGCTCAAGGAGCCAATTTCTGAGAACTCACGGCAGTGTGCCTCCCTGAGATGTCATCCAATTTTGCACCCAGAGATGTTATTCCGGGTTAGCCCTTCCGAGATGTATCCAGTCTGCAGTCAGAGATCTTATTCTGAGTATTCACAGCAGCCGTAGCCTCTCCAAGATCTTATCCGTGCTGACTCAATGAGCCCATTTTGAGAAACTCACGCCTCTCACATCATTCCAATCCCAGCGGGCAGCCTTGTGGGGGTTTGAACAGCCGGTTCCGGTTTCTTAATTCTTCGATAAGTCAGGGCCAAGCCAGCTCCGATCAGCCAGAACCCTGTTACCATGGTTCCGAATAGGTAGATATCTTCAGCACTCAGGCTCACCCAAGCCCAAACTTCTCGTTGAGAAAGGGGTGTCAATTACATTGAGTTCAGCAATGCTCCCCTCTTCATCTCCTCTCTACCTGAGCCTCATCCTCTTTTTGTCATACCACTTCCCTGTTCTCTCTGGTCAGATTGGTAACTACAGCCAGGGTTCGTCTGTTCCCTCTGTACCAGGACACAACCTGTGGGGAAGGGTTTGATTTTGTCAAAAGGGAGCCTACATGATTGATGTGAAGACCTACCTAACCCCAAACACCTGTATTCTCTGCTCCGATGCTCCTCAAGGCAACAAGCTGCAAAATCTAAAGAAAAAGTTTAGTTAGCAGCAACTTAAACTGTAGCACATACTTTATGTGTACTTCATTTTTAGCTGCCTGTGTCTCTAGTGGACTGGCGTGGATTCAGCCGATGCAAGACTTATATTTACAGCGGTGCCCACACCTCTGTGAGATATATCACTATATGATATTATAACTACTGAAAGAGTTATAGCATCCAAGGGTTTTTGTAAGGTCTCAGAGAACATCTTGGAGATCACTTAGTGTCTCACGATGACAACTGGCATCTACGTAAAGATTAGATGTTATTTTTTTTATCGGAAGGCAAACTATGTAATTTTTATTGGACATCTCAGCAAATTGCACTGCACTTTCCTCTGAGTTATTGATTCTGTCACCAGTTAGCTAAAATTAATGTAAGTCTATTTGCCGCAGCCAACCAGCCAACCAACCAGATAACATCCAGTTCCGTACTGACAAAAGATGGTGCTAAATATGTTTTTAAAATTTTAATTTTAAGCACTTAAATCCAGTTTCGCAGACAGTGTTACATCTATGTCAGATTTTGAGAGCAGGACTTAATGGTGTACATTTCCTTTATACTCTTAAGGCTTAAAAGGAACATGAAATGCTACAAATATAAAGGCTAGATTGGACTTTGCTAAAAAGAAAAAAAAAAATGTAAAAAAGCCAGCACTCTTCTGGAAAAACATTGTTTGGACAAATGATACCAAGATCAACCTTCACCAGAATGATGGCAAGAAAAAAGTATGGAGAAGACATGGAACAGCTCATGATCCAAAGCACTCCATATCATCTGTAAAAAAAAAAAGGCAGAGGCAGTGTGATGCCTTGGATGTGCAAAGCTGCCACTGGCACTGGGACACTAGTGTTTATTGATGATGTTACACAGGACAGAAGCACCTAAATGTATTCTAAGGTGTTTCGAGACATACTGCTGCTAGTTAAAGTCAAATTGATTTTTTAAATGCATTTCATAATACAGATGGATAATGACCCAATGCATACAGCCAAAACTACCTAGGAGTTTATTAAAGCCAAGAAGTGCAATATTTTTGAATTGCCAAGTCAGTCAACTGATCTTAATTCAGTAGTTCCCAAACTTTTTTTTTTGCTAGGCCCCCCTTTGTTTTACAAGAAAATATACTGTCCAAACCTGTCCATTATGTCCATTATGCTAGGCTCTGCACCAAGGGGCACGCCCCCTACTTTAGGAACCACTGTTTTAATCCAGTTGAGCATGCATTTCACTTGTTGAAGACTAAATTTCAGACAGAAAAGCCCACAAACAAACGGCAACTGAAAGCCGCTACAGTAAAGGCCTTGCAGAGCATTAAAAAACAGGAAACCCAGCATCTAGTGATGTCCGTGAGTTCAAGACTTCAGGTTATCATTGTCAGCAAAGGGTTTTCAACCAAGTATTAGAAATGAAGATTTTAATTTCAGTTATTTAATTTGTCCAATTACTTCTGAGCCCCTGAAATGAAGAGATTGTGCTAAAAAAGGCTTCAGTTCCTCACATTTTTATGCAGTCTCTTTGTTTCATATATGAAATTAAAGCTGAAAGTCTGTACTTAAATTGGATCTGAGTTGTTTCATTTAAAATTCATTGTGGTAATTTACAGAACCAAAGTTAGAAAAAAGTTGTCCTTGTCCAAATATTTGTGACCTAACCATGTATAGGTAAGTTCTGAAAACTGCGCAACTGCTTATCGTATCTCTTCAGGTCTACAAGTTTAATCAGTCCTTGAGAGTCTCATGCACTATAGGTTCGGTGAGATGAGGTGAGGGGAGATAAGAGATTTACAGTTTCCTGAGTTATACTGTAAACATTAACCCATCTCCGCCAGATCAAATCTATCACTGTCACGCTGTCACTCGTGTATTTATGCATGTGTGATGTGCAATGTTCCCCCTAAGCTGCGCACGTGCGCAATTGCGCACTGCTGGCACGGTCTCTGCGCACAGAAAATCTGTGTTGCGCACAAAAAAAACCTAACCTGAATTGAAATTAAAATTAATACTTTAACAATTCTGTTTTGCAGTGTTAGTCAGTAAGTGACTGGCTGGTCCTGTATGGGGTTAGAACGATGCCACCTTATCCCATAGTCCAGCCAATAATGCGAGTCACATTCGTATACGCAGCTAATCAATGTCGTTGACAGCCTATGACAGCGTCCTTATATGCCGACACGGGTGTTTTAGCAAGCAAAGCGGCGTGGCTGATGTGGAGTCAAGCCACGTTAATGACAACGTGTACAACCATTGGAGATGTGAGCAGGACAGACGGAACAATTAACGGAAAAAGTGTGGACTTTATACCAGTTTATAAATTGTGTTGATAGGCCACGTAAAACCAGAGTTGTGATAAGTTTTCAGGTTTTCTTCCTGAATACTATCGTTGTTTATATTTACTGCGGGAAGAAACGGTAAAAACGGCGTTTTATACGAAAAAAGGCTCGAAAGCGCACACCTGTGAGCAAAAACAAACTCCACCCCCCTCTCTCTTTCCTATTCGTGTAAAAAACTACCATGTCGACCAATCAAAAAATGATATGGCAACGAGGCATCTAGTTGTTAAAAAACGGGGGGAAGTTTTTTAGGAGTGACGGCGGTGTTTTGAGATGTGAGAGATTTTCGACGTTTAGCGCAAATCTTGTGTAGTTAGTGTGTAGTGTAGTCAATAGTTTTGTTGTGTGTGTCAGAACAATGAGGCGACTGCTGAATGTTACAGGTGTTACAGGAGTGATAAGTCTCCTGTTGTCAGGCCTGCAGGTATCAGGCTGTTGTTCTTCTTTATCTCATAGTGGACAGAAATTGTTTTTTGGAGTGGCACAAATAATTTGTGTGGCATCAAATTTGATGCAGAACAGCTGATTGTTCTGTAAATAGTTTGAAATGTTTATTTAAAAAACGCCTTGGCTGCATTTAAAAAAATAGCTGCAAAAAAACTTGTGATCTCCACTCAGTTTGTCAAAAAACTGTTTGCCAAACTGAGTTACTTTTTTAAAGAAGTAACTATATAATTAATTGCCCAGCATTGGTCATTATATACTGTATTTTGCAGACAGAGAGTTACAGGACAGACCACAGACTCATAATACAAGTCTGAGCTTTTTTTCTTTTTTTCTTTTTTTTTAAAGAAAGTTGTGTTTTCATTATTGGAGTTCAAGTTGTTTTTGTTTTTTTTACTTCCAATAGTGTTAACATACTACACAGGTCAATGGCTAGATTTTTTTTACATTTTCATTGTAAGTGGGCTAAAGCAGTTAATTAAAAGTAGTCTAACATAAATGCTGTAATTTGATTATTTTAATTAACCATGTAACTTGGATGGATTCGATGCTGGCGTGACCACAGTGCACACGTCTGATGTCGCTCACAGTGGTCCAAGGGATCGCTCAGGGAGTTTGCTCAGACACGTGAAAAATTACAGGGAACATTGGTGATGTGTGAGGGACATTGGTATGCCTGAGCAAATGAGTCAGATAGGGTGTTAACTGTGCTGTCGATGACCCTAAGATTATAATCTCCCAATCCCTTGTAAATGCCCAACCCCATATACTGAAATCACTACCAAATATGTGCAAATAACTGGTAAAATGCAGTAGTGAAATCCACTTCTACAATATTCCTGTGTGTCATGAAATAAATTAGCTAAATTAATTATTTTGTTAATTTTCCAGTGTACAAACATACATGGGTATTTTACACATGTTGTGATTGGGATGCATGGACCAGTTCTCAGGAAACCTCATGGCAAAGCAATTCTACTGTAGACTGAATAGATTTATTAAATGTGCTTCCTAGTGGATGAATATCAAATACATAAAAGCAAATATTTCAGCTGGTTTCATACTCATACTGGCCTCGTGTATCAGCACTATTGCAATAATTTTGACAGATAAAGAAAAAGGCTTATTGAACATTGAACTATCCTCAGCTTGATAACACTATCCTCAGTGCATAGGTTAGTTTAGTGGAACTTGTCCACCCCGTTATGTCAGAGCCCAGAACCATTTTCTGCATGCACCACACCCAGTGGATGAAACTGAACCAATCAGCGGGAGCTGTGCACAAAGTTCTCCTTTTATGGAGAGAGACTGCAGAATGGACCCTGATAAAATCCTGCAATTTACTGTCCTTTATTGCAGTCAAGTTCAGGTACTAAATCCTATGGGAGTGCAGCCCTGAGTCAGAGTTCTCCTACACTGAAAACCTTTCCTCACACAGGTAAGACAATTGCAGATCCCACTGAATGTATTTTACTTATATTTTAAATACTCTCAAATTGTAAACTTCACATTTCAAACAAGTAGTATCTTTTAATCCCATTACTTAAATTTCTGCAAGTCCTTATGCAAGTTGAACCGATCATTAGAAACCACTTGTTATGCCGTATAATGTTCTTGTTATGACGTCTTGATGCGTGCTCAATCATCCAGGTAAGTGAATCTCCAAAAGTTGATTCTGTTCATCTGGATGTAGCGTTTTGTGGGAGAAACGTTTCGTCACTCATCCAAGTGATTTCTTCAGTCTCAGCTGACTGCAGGTTTCCCCAATCTTATAAACAGTACATTTGCATAATGACTTCAATGGGCTGGTTTCAGTCATTCCAAGAGGATGCCATCTGTAGTTTGTAGAAATGTATTGACTAAGGAGTTGGAAAGAAAGCGTCCAGACTTCTTCAAGTTTCTAGAAGACATTCTACCTTTGATCCAAGAGGCTTCTTCGGTTCTAAAACGTACCTATCCCCTTGCCAGTCCAACTTTTTCCCTAAGAATTGTGTTGTTTATGCTACATTAAATGCCACAGCACAAAATTGAGACTCATCACAGCGGCCACTGGCTTTCCGATCTTCTGTTGTCCAACTAATAGGAGTTGCAGCTATTGTGGTCTTTGTCTTTGTTGCCATCATGTCAACTTGAAGGATTTTGGCTATGAGCCTCAAACATTAGGCATTAACAAGGCATTTTCACCCAAAGAACTGCAGCTCACATTATATTTTCTCTTTTTCAGATCACTTACTGTAAATCCTAGAGATGATTGTGTGGAAAATATCATTAGATCAGCAATTTCTAAAGTATTCTTAACAGCCTTGTATAGCAATGGGCAGACTGAGTGGGAAACTGCCTTTGTTTCTCAGCACTGGGTTTCAACTGAGCCCTGTGCCAGCGATGTCAGATGATAAAACATACCACATGGAAAACACTACAGCTTAACAGCTGATCTAAAAATCCTTTCCTCCCTTTTCATTCCCTTCATACAGAAAATGGAAGACGAAATTGCCGCCCTCGTTGTTGACAACGGATCTGGTATGTGCAAAGCTGGCTTTGCAGGAGATGATGCTCCACGTGCTGTGTTCCCCTCTATTGTTGGACGCCCCAGGCATCAGGTACATATTCCTTAATAAACCTCACATACCTTGTAACCTTTTTGTAACTGCTGACCTTTTCATAATCGCACTCCTCTTTGCATTCCTAGGGTGTAATGGTTGGTATGGGCCAGAAGGACAGCTATGTTGGTGATGAGGCACAGAGCAAAAGAGGAATCCTGACCCTCAAGTACCCCATTGAGCACGGAATTGTCAACAACTGGGATGACATGGAGAAGATCTGGCATCACACCTTCTACAATGAGCTGAGAGTTGCCCCTGAGGAGCATCCAGTCCTGCTCACAGAGGCCCCCCTGAACCCCAAGTCAAACAGGGAAAAGATGACGCAGGTAACAAGAGGTGACACCTTGACGAACTTCCTGTTGAGCTGCAGTGCCCAACAACAGGAAAACTGTGTTGCCACTCGCGTGTTTCTTCCCCTGCTCAATCTGTCTTTCCTCATCCTCCTTCAACCCTCCAGGTTTTTTCTCCAGGTGTCTGCATGAAAAAAAATGAATAATAGAGCAGGTTGCGGCACTTTAACTTGTGTGCCGCAACAGTGTAACAAAGAAGTTTTGTAATAAATTGCTTTTCTATGAAGTAGTTTTACTATTAAAATTCAACCCAGTGTGCTGTTCTTTCTGTACAATTGAACTAACACATGCAAACTTATTTCAGATTACTCTAACTCTTGGGTTCACTGATCATCTCTTTTCTCCTGCTCTCCTTGCAGATCATGTTTGAGACCTTCAACACTCCTGCCATGTATGTGGCCATCCAGGCAGTGCTGTCCCTGTACGCCTCTGGTCGTACCACTGGTATTGTCATGGACTCCGGTGATGGTGTGTCCCACACTGTGCCCATCTATGAAGGCTACGCTCTGCCCCATGCCATTGTCAGGTTGGACCTGGCTGGCAGGGACCTCACAGACTACCTCATGAAAATCCTGACTGAGAGAGGCCACAGCTTCACCACCACAGGTGAGAAAATGGTAAGATGGTTTACACCAGGAAAAAAACCCAGAAAAGCCTAAATGTAATGCGTTTTCTTGTCTCACAGCTGAGCGTGAGATTGTGCGTGATATTAAGGAAAAGCTGTGCTACGTTGCACTGGACTTTGAGCAGGAGATGGGAACTGCTGCCTGCTCTTCATCCCTGGAGAAGAGCTATGAGCTGCCTGATGGACAGGTCATCACTATTGGGAACGAGAGGTTCCGTTGCCCAGAGGCTCTCTTCCAGCCCACATTCCTTGGTAAGCAGCATCAGCTTTAAGGCAGATTTCTGTGAATTGTTAAGCAGTTGTAGCTGAGTGATCACTAACGTTCCAACTCTCCACAGGTATGGAGGCCTGTGGTATCCATGAAACTACCTATAACAGCATCATGAAGTGCGATGTGGACATCCGTAAGGACCTGTACGCCAACACTGTGCTGTCTGGAGGTACCACCATGTATCCTGGCATTGCTGACCGCATGCAGAAGGAGATCACTTCCCTGGCACCCAGCACCATGAAGATCAAGGTAAAATTCTTGTTGCTCAATCCTCAGTCTGTGATTTTTAAATGTGGAGTGTTTTCATTGCTGACAACTCTACTTCTCTGCCCTCGCAGATTATTGCTCCCCCAGAGAGGAAGTACTCTGTATGGATTGGAGGCTCCATCCTGGCTTCTCTGTCCACCTTCCAGCAGATGTGGATCAGCAAGCAGGAGTACGATGAGTCCGGCCCCAGCATCGTCCACAGAAAGTGCTTCTAGACAGACTGCCCCCACCACACCCCACCACCGCCACCACCACCAAAACACACACTGCAAGAAAAACAAATGACTGGCTCTGCATACATGCCCATAGCACCAAATTGGTGCATGCCTAGCCGACACCTTTTCCATTTTTCCATCACTTTGGCTATGGCACCGTGCTTTCTGATGGGGAGAAACCCTGCAGGAAGCATAGAGCATCCCAGGCACTGTGAATTTGTACTTAGTTTTTCTGTAACAAACTCTTTTTCACTTGAATGTATTTCAAAAAGAAGAAATGTTTCCAAAAAATACTGGAAATGTGTTGATAATTATCAGTAAATTAGTAAATCTATAAATCCAACATGAAATATTATGGCTTCTTCTTCTAAAACATTGACATGCAGCAATTTCAGCTTCATGAAGATGTATCTGCCAAGATTTTTGTATTAACGCTGAAGAACCCATGGGGTCAAATTTGACCCCATGGGTTCTCCAGGGTTAAAATGCTTTTGCAAAATTGACAGAAAAGATTATCAGTTTTGTGATATTTTTGTTTAGTTTAGTTTTTTTGTTAGCTTTTTTGTTTTTGGTCTCACTTGCTTTACTTATTGAATGTGTTTATTATTGATTTTTATATCTATAGATATTTTACTTCTTGGTCATTGCCAACTGCGCTGTTTTCTCACAGCACGACCGTCGGTGGTATACTTGGACTGGTAGCCAGGGAGGCTGCAGCACTTGATGAACTGAGTTGACTGAGCATTTGTCCGAAAAGATGAATGCACAGTCAACTCTAACTGAAACAGAAAAATAAAGAAAAGAAGCAAAACAAGAGAAATGTGTCCAACTGTCAAAGGAGGCAAAAATACAGGCAGCTATATATATATATATAAGCTGCTAGGTGAAAAAATACTGAAGCTACTAATAGCTAACAAACTTCTTGAACTTCTTTACTCAAGTTTAAGTGATAAAGTCCAGGCTCTAAAATGAACTCAGAATAAGAATGTAAAAAGCAGCTGTTAGAAGAAGCTCTTTTTGTGAAGAGATAGCCGTTAGTATAGCTATTAATATAAAAATACCAATAATATTAGTACATGGGAATGAAAACTTTTCTTTTTACTTTGCCTCCACAGCTAAACAGAAAAATCGGATGAGTCCGGGGTTAAAGGGGTATTCAACAGGTGTGGGAACCCTAAAATCAGTTTTATTGGCTTTATTGAAAAGAATCACAACTCACAATACTTTTCACTGAGTGCTCCAGCAGATTTCCTTAGTGTTCGAGCTGTGATCAGCTGCTGCTGCGAATAGGTTTACTCCTCTTTATGGATTTACACAACTGAATTCAACGAGATGCAACACAATATTTCACAAAATGTTTTCCCTGATTTTCGTTCCCTACACTGACAGTATACTGCTTATGATGAGATGAGATGATGATGAGATTTATTTGAGCCTTTATTTGTCAGTTGCAGGTCTTTTGCCCACAACCGAGATGACAGACCTTGCCGACCGTACATACAATACACAAACATCACATTGGGGAGACAGTTCAGGCTAGGTAGCGAGGAAAAAAACATCAAAATGTGTAACACAAAAGGATAATACAGGAATGCACAGATATCAACACACCATAGCACAATAAACACAGACAAGCAACATGGGAAAGTGTTCCAGTGTGTACATCTGATCTGGGACCGCTGCAATCTTCGACTGCGCCTCCAGCTGACCCGATGTCCACATCAGAGGGGAGGTAAGCGTTGGAGGTGGCGTTGGATCCGGGGTAGGGAGGGTGATGCGTGGGTGAGTGCTTATCAGTATCAATATATGTATGTGTGTGCGTGTCCATAGTTCAGCTGAGACAGTGTCCTTCGCCCTGCCAGGCTAAGTAAACAGTCTTCCAGCCAACCCAGGTGGCCTTGTAGGGAATGGGAAGGAACAGACTCAACACAGTCGTTATCAGGGAGTTTTTGTTCGGCTCCAGCCTTGAGCCCACAGCTGGCGCCGAAGGGGTAGCTGGATTATGATGGTAATTTTTCTTTTGCAACAATTTGTGAGAATTTCAAAGCTATTCTTTAACACTCCGACACTGGTCTCTCAATCGAGAGTTTTCTCCATGATGGTATCAAACTTCCGTTCCATGGTGTTGTCTTTTGCTCTGAGAGCCATTTCTGAGAACTCACGACTGCAGTGAGCTGTTCTACGATGTAATCCAACTTTCGCTCAAAGGTGTTATTCTGAGCAGGCCTCTCCTTGATGTAACCTAATATACGCTCAGAGGTGTTATTCTGAGTATTCACTGCAGCCGTAAGCGCCTCCAAGCTCTTAACCATGCTGCACTCAGTGAGCCAGTTCTGAGAAGTCGCGCCTTGTCCCATCGTTTCAATCCCAGCGGGCAGCCTTGGGGAGCTTTGAACAGCCAGTTCCGCTTTCTTAATTCTCCAATAGGCCAGGGCCAAGCCAGCTCCGATCAGCAAGAACCCTGTTATCATGGTTCCAAATAGATAGATATCTTCAGCGTCCTCAATCAACAGTCCCGCCAGGCACACGACCCTCCATGTCTGCCACCTGTCCATCGTGTATCCGGCAGTGAAAGTCCATCCAGGGCACTCGGGCTCTCCCGAGCCCAGACTTCTCGTTGAGAAAAGGGTGTCAATAGCATTCAGAGACCAGTTGATCAAATCCATAATTCTCTTTAGGTTTTAGACACAGACTGTGAGAGACTGTCCCAGGGAAAGTAATACAAAAAAACCCACGAGACTAGACAAGGACATAAGAACTAAGCAGGGAAGATAAGGGAGAGGAGAGGAGAAAAAGTGCGTCCACCTCCTCCTAGAGCCAAAAGGTCTTCATATTATTATAGTATAAATGTTCAATTTAGTGAATGAATCTAAGTGTCTCATCAGTTTAAATTAACAATTAATCTCTGCTGCTCTGCACTTGATGTAACCTAACTGTGACCATTAACAGAGCCACTGTGCACCAGTCCCTACCTTGATGCTAAAGTACTGGGAACACAGCTTTTGAACAAAACGCTATTCCTGATTTTTTGGGGCCATTTTAGCGCCTTAGTGTAGTGCTGTAAATTATTAAATGAAATAAATATTTTTGCCAGTAAAGTTAAAACGTATTTTTACTTGATAATTTCCAGCCTCTGCTGACTATGTATGTGTGTTGGAGAAGCCATTGTGGCAGGAACATGGACCAAAAGGATTAAATCTGAGTAGCCTACAAAGTCAGACAAAGTTAGAACTGTTCTTTTCGCTACACCTACTGCACACCAACAAACTAACGCCTCCAGGTACTGAGTTCAGTTAGACAGAGAAATATGCCACTGGACGTGGTCATTTCCCATCCTCCAGGGACAAAACGGATGTCATGTATCCCCCCTTTTCGTCTACTGTCTGGGTGAATGGTTAATATGAAAATACTTTGGGCTATGACACCTTCCCCTTCTCACCCTCTGCCCCGAGTCAAACAGTTTCAGTTCCTGGCTTTTCAGATCAATCATTAAACCAATGTACTGTGGCCCCACACTGAAAACACCTTTCATTATTTCTCCCTCTACATTCTCTGCCTCAGAAACTCAGAAAAAGACATTCAACCTTGACACTGAGACTGCAGAGACAAGAGTATGGGGCATAGAGGCTTGATAACAAAACTAAGAAGACCTGAGAAAACAAATATTAAACAGAGGGATCTCAATCATAATAACCAGAACTTGGAACAGAATCTTAACTTGACAATATTAAATAAACAGAATCAAAAGTCCAAACACATAAAAACTGGGTCACAGACCCAGGACCATGACATCTTAGTATTTTCATAAAATGATCTTGCAGAACTAACCAGTTTTTGATTTAAGGGGCATCTATCCATCCTGCAGTCTGAGATGTTGTAAGCTGCTGTGCTGTGACTGCTGTGACAGGAGGTTAATCTGGTTTCTATCTTGCTTTTGACACTTAGACACTGAGACACTTGGTTAGTAACAATTTTTTGGCCCTGCGTGTCCCTACTTTCTTTTATAAATGGACCAATATAGCACGGACAGTCGTAACACCAGTATTAATACAGAAAGAAAATAGCTTTTTTATACTTATTGTGTGCATATAAACTTTGTCTCATCAGCTCTAGGGAACTTTATTATCACAGTCTTATAGGCACCTGCTTGATAACAAAGACATAAAATGCCTCATGACCTTGCAGCTTACAGTAATTTGTTTGTCATTGTACACACAATCAGTTTACAAGAAGGCTACAATCATATACCATTAGTATACAAAAGGTTGAAATACAAGTTTTCCACTACAATGTTCATGTGTTCATGTGTAATAAACAGGGGTAATAGCTTTATTTTGATACCAAACATAGGTATGTATGGGAAATTGCACAACTGTTAATCATATCTCATTCAGGCCTACAAGATTAATGAGTCCTTGAAAATCACATGCACCATAGGTTAGGTGAAGAGAGGTGATGGGAGATAAGAAATTTATAGTCTCATTACAATCATGCTGTAAACATTAGCCCGGACCACATGCATCTCTGGCACAGAGTGCCATGTGGTCTGTGCCCCCAGTGCATGTGGCCCCAAGACACAGTGTCCTGGTATCTGCAAATAAGCAACAGGTAAATGCACTGGTGAAATCACATTTATCCCATTAATTAAATTATATAAATTAATTATTCTGTTAGGTTTCCAGTGCACAAATATGCAAAGGTGTGTTATATGAGTATGTTATATGAATAATGGACATAATCAGGATTTATTGGCCCCATTCACAATACTTATAATGCCTATCAAAGTTGTGCACACTGCGATAATATGGATAGATGATAAAAATAGGATTTATTGAACACTGCCCGACTCCAGATAGTTAACACTGACATAACATAGGTTAGTTTATTGGAACTTCTCCCCCCGTCATGCCAAAGTGCAGAACCAGTGACTGTATATGCCATACCCAGTGGATGTGTCTGAGCCAATCAGAGTAACTCATGTGAAAAGTTCTGCTCTTATGGAGAG